ATTATTTTTATTATTATGTTAAAAAGGAAGCTGAGTTTCAGACAGGACACTAGCTGGGAGAGTATACACCTAGAGCAGAGAGAGGAAGGAGCAAGGACGTCATCTCCATCAGACGTCACCACAGAACCCATGGCATTCTGCTGCTCTGACCCCGGGACACACAGCTCTGGCCAAGAGAACCCTCAAGTGGGACATAAATGTATATTGCAGATATCCAGCACTACAATGTCACCATTTAACCACATTGTGGAAAGTATTTGGGTAATTCCTGGGACCTGTTAAATCAGCCTTTGTCAAAAGGTATGTGAAGACAGAATAAAGCTGTCTTGCTTTAACTGCTGCATTAACTAATTTCCTTCTACACGGTGTTAAGAGTAAAATCACTCACATATCAAAGGACAGAACTAACTTACAATGTGTAAAACCAACTTCTGCCACATATCATTAAACAGGGCAGTCACTCCCAAGTGTGACATGGAGTCACACTTGTGCCTGTCCTGAACATACTGTAAGAGCTGGGAAATCCTTCTGGGGGAAAGTCCCGTATTTATTAAGCCCAATAAAAACCAAATCTACAACAAACTGTGGACTGGTATTTTTGTGAAAGATTTCCCACAACAGCCTTAATGGTGAAAGGACAAGAAATATCACACAAAACATCCATATGCTCTCACTTTGTTCTGTGCATAGGCCATGGTCCCATCAAACTGCCCCTTCTCAAACTGCAGATCATCCACATTTAACTTCTGAACCAGCATACCCCCTGAAGACACAGTGATCTGCAAAAGAACTGACATTTCAGTATCACATGCTACACTTTGTGAAGAAGCAAGTTGACTTTAACATACTTAAACCTAATAAAACAAAACAATTTAAGTGTTCACTGGGAAAAATAGCTTAAACATGCTGAGAAGTAGTGTGTGTATTAGATAAAAGAAAATGTAATTCCTACATTTTATTTTATCATGACATGCTCCTATGCATCTGAAACTACACTCAAGAGATGCCAGATAATTTTTTTTTTACTTCATTGTTGAACAGTAGCTTGTCATGGATTTTTAAATTCTCTCTGAACAGTAGCATGGCTTAAATACCACAGTTTAGGTGCACAGCTGCACATGAGGTTTACTGTTTCTTCTTTGTGACTGAGCCACTTAGACGCACTTCTTCTGTGAATGTGTTCATACTAATGAACATGAAATCAGAATTCATACTGGACAGAACAGTATGTTCAGAACAGACACATGTTACACACAGTCATGAACTCACCACTCTGGGGTCACTGGATGCTTTCAGGGTTGGTATCAATGCTTGGGTCAAAATATATGTTCCTAAAAAATGAACATGGTCATACAGCATATCAGTGACCTGCGGTACATACTGTATATGAACATTAAGAATGGTTATAAATGACGGGAGACCAATTTGCCCATCTAACCCATTTGCTCGTTAGTTTTTAATTGATCTAGTGGTCTCATCCAGCCATTTCTCGAAAGAAACCAAGGCGTCAGCTTCAACCACATGACTGTATTTTCTTCTTCCATATTCTCACGTACCCTATGCTCCCTGTGCTCAGTTTAAATGCACTTCCATAAGGTTTCCACTTGTGACCTCTGGCATGTGATGTACTGTATAACAAATCAATTCATAACACTTGGTTTTTTCCACAATCACTCTACAGACTTACTAAGAAGTCCCGACATTTTAAAGTCGCCCCTGTGAGCTGCAAGCGAGCCGATGATTTAACATGTGAAAGGACTCGTTTTGTCATTCACAAGAAGGGAAGACTGAGAAGAGAAACGTTGCTGTTCTTCGAAGGAGATCACAGTCACAAGTTAAGGCGATCTCAACAACAACAAAAAAATCGGAGTGACCTAAAATGAGTAAAAAGTCGATGTCTTGTACGTGTGCATTGAAAGAGAAGTGAGTCGTGATCACATTTAGTTTGTAATTCTCACCTAAAGTGTTGGTAGCAAAATTCTTCTCCAGTCCATCCTCCGTCAGCTCTCTCTGGTTCACCATGCACCCTGCATTGTTAACCTACAGACAAAGACTTGACTTGATCATCTGGGCTCTCGCTCCACACAGCAGTGCGACTCCACCTGGAGAGCCCCGGTCACAGTCGGCGGGTGGCATGACCAGGGGCAGACCTGCGACCAGACAACAGCCTGCGCTCGGGCAAGTGCCTTTAGCAGGTGGGTCACCCACGACACCCCAAGCGACAGCACTTTCAAAGAAACATTAGCTCAAACTCCGTTTATTCCAATTCTGATTACACATCCAGCCATTCTTGAGAGACACAGCACTCGTTCCTTATGTATGTATTTGAAAAGGGACCACACATAATGGGTTTGTGTTTTCTTAGCATTTATTCAATGATTCCAGCATGCTTTATTAAAATAGGGAGTCACGGTATATCCATAAAATAAGAGAAACAAAGATGTTTAAGGATAAAAAAGAAGAATTTTAAAAAGTTTTATTTTGATTTGTTAAAAAAAATGCACACATCTACATACATAAGGACTCACAGCAAGAAAATCAGAAATATTTTGTGATTTCAGAATGAAATATATCCAAAGGAACAAGTAATAGGTTTATTCCTTCCTGAAAAGAGAAGAAAGAAAACACAACGTTTCGGCTGTGGGGTCTTCTTCGGGCATTTGGGTAAAGAAGGCGCCACAGCCGAAACGTTGTGTTTTCTTTCTTCTCTTTTCAGAAAGGAATAAACCTATTACTCGTTCCTTTGCAGCCTGCGCATGCTGACACAACTACCCACCTGAAATATATCCATATCATTTTACAGGAATGTACAGTATGCATGAGCAATAGCAAACAGTAAATGTACTTGACTTACCAAAACATGTAAATTGTTGTCCTTCTTGAATTGTTCTGCAAACTCCCAAACCTTTCTAGGACTGGACAGATCCAAAATGTGAACATGGATATTCTAAAAACAAACATTAACATTGTAAATGGCCTGGTTGAACTATCTGTCATTAGGAATGGAAAATAAATACAAATGTTTCTGCAAGATCAAAATGAAAATGATCCGTCAGCCAGGGCCCATCAGTGGCTATAAACCGTAGCTTTAAACCATCCGTTACGAAAAAGTAACTGACTCCTGGAAAGGGTGCAATGTGAGAGACTTTCGGCGAGGAATTAGGAAAAAATTACTAAACATTTAATCTTATGAACTATCAAAAAAAATTGGCAACCCAGATGCTTTTCGCATTGCAACATACTATATAAATATACATTTTATATAAATGTATGTCCTAATGTTGTGATATACACACAGGAGCTGTCACTGGACAGTATCCCCTTGCTTTTCTAGGGTATAAAACTAGCATTTTGTCGTTTACTGCTGAACACTGTAGTACCACCTCATTGTTACTGTTCTTCACGATGTCTCCCTTCGCCTCTTCAGCTCTGTCCTTGTTCCGGCAGACGAGATGAACGGTCCCGCCTGTAAAACAGCAAACCCGATTACCACACTGCCCCAGAGGAGGCCCGGAGCCCGCGTCCGAAGATCTTCCAACTGCTTGTGCCCTGGGCCAGCTGGGCTGCCAGTTGCCTTGACAACAGGGCTGCCCGTGTGGTTTCAGCTCCCGTTAGCTCAGCAAGTCAATGCGCCACATTCACGTCTCACTCAGGCCCCCCAGACAACACTCTGTGTTAAACAGAGGCCAAGGCGGGATGTGCATTCGAAACATTTCTTTCGGGTCTGACGGTGTTCCACCAACAGTATCAAAAGAAACGAGATGTTATTCCCTAGACTGTTACCAAAACGCTCCCAATCACAGGGATAACTGACTAGCCAGACCTTAATCCGCCCTCCATCCTCAAAGCCCTGAGCGAGTTTGCTCTGGCACCACCCAGCAGGCCGGCTGCTGGGGACCTGGTGAGCACTCGAGCGGCAGGGTTCCTGCACGGCCCCGGATCCGCACCTCTCTTTGCGATCTCAGTTGCTGCAGTTTTTCCAATCCCGCTGTTCGCCCCAGTGATCATGAAGGACCTCCCGGCCAAATTCACATCCAGGTCTGCTTGGGCAAAATGTTTTGCGGCAGCTTCGTAGCCTCCCCTGCAAACACACACGACGTCCGAGACACACTGAGCTCACAGGCAGCAGACACGTGTCCCCTTCCACCCCTTCCCTGCCCTCTTCAGCCTCGAAGTCATTCACATCACATGCTTCTTTACAGCTCACAGAATGTGACAGGAATACAAAATACAGGCAGACCAATGACCACTCTCTACCAAGAGCACCGCCAAACATGTGTCAGCTTCAATCAAAGTGAACCTGGGAAAGGGGGAATTGCAGTCTTGTGTAATTGCTTGAGCTCAACTGTAAAATCCACAAACAAGCTTTCTGAATTCAATTACCTCATTTCTCTGTCCCTGCAACAGATTTCATGAGCGGAGGAGTCTATATGAACGGACCTTGCACCCTGCAGGAGAGTCTCTCAGGTGTACTTCTATTCGTGACCTGTGGGTAAACGCTGCCATTCTGTTAGGACCTACAGGAGACCTGCTACTACAGCAAGGATTTGTGGATCTGGAGTGTGTTCTGTGAGAGGGGCATTACCAAACAGCACATGACTGACAGTCTGCTTACCAGTTCTCTTACCGTTGCAGGATTTTTACACTGCTATGATGCGGCAATAATCTGTCTAAAATGCAGGACGATCCTCCTGAAATCTCTTCAGAAAGCATGGCAACGAGCTTGAAAAGGACTTACATTAGCAATCATAATTTTCCATGCATTACACACCGTCTTTTACCACGAACAGCATACAGTGGGTTCCTTGAAGATACAGTACATCAAAATGACATAACAGAGAATACGACAGATAACTACTCACTTCGTATACTCCTGAAGTCCTTTTACGAACCAGACAGCGTTCCTATAGAATGTCATGTTTCTCTCTCTCTCTTCGGGGTTTTGTTTAATGAAAAGGCTGAAATGAACTTCTCGCCCGAAGAGCACACATGCACACAGAGGCGCGCCCTCCTGCTCATATGTAACGACGCCTGGTTGAGTAACAGCGTTGCGCAAAGCGACTGGTTGTGCTGTTGGCACGTGGTGAGATGTTGTAACAGGGGTCGACGGGAAGACCGGCGTTGCGGAAGCCGGCGCGCTTGGGATGAAACAATGTAACCTCCGCTGTTCAAAACATTCCGGATCGATCCGCAATACAGTGGAAACGAGGACGCTTCCCTTAGGGAGATGGTTGTTATGTCACCTTTTATGCACGCGGAAAAAAAACCCAGTAACATCGTTTTGTTATTGATTTAATCACTGCACTTGCTCGTCATTATGTACCAAAAAAAATGCAACGGTTTGAGAAGAGACCCACAATCGGAACAGTTTTAAAATACACATAAGCGCGTACACCTCAAAACCTTTTCAAATTGGGAGAATACGAAAGCTGTGCGTACTTTATAATTACCTCACTGAACCCTTTTTTTTGTAAGCAGCGACTTGATGATATTTGTCATCTTGCACGTATTTGTATCTGTTATTGTTGTTGCAATAAAAAACAACTTTACAAGTAAGAGCCAGGACGTTTGGATGGTGTCCTTTCGAGGTACTGAAGTGCTGGAAGGCTATTAGTACGATGGATCAAAAAGAAACATGAAAATGAATAGTTTAAGCCTGTTGAGCAATCAATTGACTTTAAAAAAGTAGATTATTAGCACTGGCAGTAGATGCTGTTTTGAGGGTAAACAACTAAGCTCTGACCATGTTATAGTGAAATAATTTATTTTGCGTCAGTCTTAAGTATTGCAGACAATACACACCTCTACAAGAATGCTCGACATGCTGAAGGAAGAGGATTTAAAACAAGTCAAATTTGTTATTGCATGCCATTACAAAATGTACCATTAAAAAAGAAATAAGTTACAAATGGAGGAGAATTATTGGAAGAGTGCAGACAAATAAATCAGGAAGAAGCAAAAATATTGACATCATCCTTTACAGTATAAAACCTATAACGCTCGATATTCTCATACCTCACATACTGTATACGGTATATTATTTTGGGCTGTCAAACCCTTACACGCAGGGTTTGTGTGAGTGTGAAGCTACCCAGCCATCTTGTTGAAGTCATTACCTCTCAGGAGACAGCTGGATGAGATCTTCATGCCACCTACAGTAGCTACTAAAATCCAAATGATCTAGATGGGCCACATCAATTGCTAACTTTCAGATGCTCTTATCTTCTTAAAACGCTGGTTAAACCATTTGTGAAAAGTTAAAAAAAAAACCTTCGGATGTTTTCTTTTGCACATAAGCACTGCAATGTGGATTATATGAGTACCCATAAAGAATGATTAACAGATTTGCATTAAACACCAGCATCCACTAAAATTACAACATTCAATTGTAGTCAAGCTGATGTTAAAAACTTTAAAAGCTCTGTAGCGGTTGATTGGCACTAAAGTCATTATTCGTGTTCTTGAATGAATACATTGCAGTGTATTCCTCACTAGGAATGCTTTGATTATTGTACTTAAAGTTCAGACAGGCTTTCTGCCTCTCCCTACTTACAACACAGAGCAGACAGGTGAAAAAAAACTGCCATTTTAACTAAGATAACAATTTTCATTAAAAGCCCCATGCAGTTTTCACCTACTTTATATACCAAAGTAATACAACAGCAGAGCAAAAACACCACTAATAATAAAAAAAACTACTTTTGATCTGACCCTTCTCATGGGCATTGCTGCTGAAATATATTTACACAAGAGTGTAATCTCTTTCATCTTAATGCACACTCCTGAATGCAGAATTTCTCATTACAAGAGATGAGAAAAAAAGCCAGACCAAGTTACATTTCAAGTGCGATTAAAAACATCAATGCAATCTACCCCGCATAAAAAAAACAAGACTTGTTAAATCAATACATGAAATGCTATAGAATCACACAGCTTTTCTATTAAAAATTAAAGCAGCATTTTTCACATTTCAAGGCCACTTCTACAAGCAAATGTCTCACACAAGACCTTCAACACATTAACAAGCAATTTCCATTCCAATATACAGTATAAACCAATAGGTCTGTTGTGCCCCCTCCAAAAGTATTGGGACAACAAAGTCAAAACTTATTTTTTAATATAAGCTGTCACTTCCTGTTATTTTTTATTTACAAAAGCAATTTTCGTTTGTGATTGTGAGACTGACATGTGAATCGATCCCTCCATTTTCTAACTGCTTCTTCCAATTAAGGGTCGCTGGGGAGCCAGAGCCTGTCTCATCAAGCAAGAAGTGCATTAACAGGGCACCCCAGATCCGACACCAGTCCATCACAGGGCACACACGGACACAAACACTCACACCACCGCTCATTATCCCAGAAGGAATCAGTATGTTTTTGAACCGTGGGTGAAGCACCTGGAGGAAGCCCACACCAACACAGGGAGAACATGCAGACTCCACACAGACAGCACCCCAGGTCCAGAACTGAACCCAGGGCCCCAGCACTGCAAGGCAGGAATGCTGACCACGTGCTGTCCAGTACTGTGTATATTGATTGGGTAATTCACACTCAAAGTGGCTGTAGCAAAGCTTAGCTATATTGATTACCTTGCTTATTGAAGTACCTTGCTGTCCCAGTATTTTTGGAAGGCATTGTAATGCTGTGCTGCTGTTACTAAAATCTGATTGTAATAGGGGCAAACACCCTGATAAACTAGCCAAACTGCTCACGGCTTTGGAAGGAATGTTAATTAACATGAGTCCTCACATGCTATATAATATCAATGGTGAGAAAACAACAAAACCCATTTTACACATAGCACTGTAAGGGTTAATTTGTCAGAATGGGATGGGATCTGTGTCAGTTATATTGTCACATAAGATTATTACATAATACCCTTTTTGTATAAAATGCAGAACCGCACTTCATGTGACAAATGACATCCTTTCTTTATATCATGCATATTTAAAGGACTTTCACTCTGCTGAAAATATGAATCCTTGTCAAGGTGTTTAAATATTAACATGACAAATACGAAAGGTGGAGTAGAGAAACCCTCTGACCGAGAATTGATACTCGACTTTTCTCACTGAAACAGCTTTCAACCTGCAAATAAGGGCTGTCAAAGACATGGCAAATACTGTAAAACATTCAATAAGCTCCACTTTCTCATTCTGCAAAGCATCCAAGTCAAAGACCTGATGGCAGAATGGAAATGTACAGAGGGAATTACTCAGTATTAACACCATGATTAGTGGTATTAACCACCAAGACTTTCCATTGTCCTCCGTCCGCTAAGGTGCGGAAATCAATTGCGTGCCGATACAGCGTGCTTCACTGGGAATAAAGCCCTGGCCCTTAACAGCTGTATGTGTGTTCTGGTTTCACATTGCTGGAGAGTGGAAACGACTCCTCTGCGCCTCCCCCTGTTTGCAAACACAGAGACGTGCACCGGCAGGGCTCGTCCTCTCCAGCCGACCAGAGCCTCAGTCGTCCTCCGCCCGGGCACCGCGCCGGGAGCAGACGTGCAAGCAGGCCGTGCAGAGCAGCAGCAGAGCCAGCACCGTGTAACTGAGGCCCAGGACGCAGACCGCGAAGACATACAGGGACTTCTCGCAGTAGTCGCTGGGGCGATGGAACGGTGGAATGAAGTTGGGCAGGTAGACGGAGAAGACCCAGTAGTTTCCCAGGATAAACCAGATGAAGAGGAACAGACTGAGGACGATGTGGAGGTAGTACTTGTGCGCGTTCAGCCGCCAGGGGTACTCGTCGTCGTCGTCGTCGTCGATGACCACGGACTTGGAAAGAAGCGACCTCATCTTCGTGATGTCATACAGCAGGAGTGTCACCTGTGAGCGGGCAAGCAGAGTGACACGCCGTCTTAGTAGCTGCAACCAGCGGCCTCTCGCACTCTGGAGTGTCTCGCGGTCCTCTCTAAAGGAGGATTCCCAAAACAGCCACGCTGACATCGCTGCCGAGGCTGAATGAGAGGGTGGCATTTCACAGTGGAACAAACAAACTGATCCTAAAACTTTTCAGAAATCAGGGACAGGGCAAAAAAAGAATTCTAGTGATAATGCAAACAGGCTTTTGACAGCATAAGAGAGCACAACGCAGAATGTGTGCCATTAACCTTAAGCCCATTGAAACAGGCAGAAATAGTCAGTTCTCTAGTCACTGCTCTTAATCTTATTCAATATGATGGCTGAATAACCAAACTCAGGCCAAATTAAATTGATAGAATTGAATTACACAAAACATAGCTTAGGTTGATGGATCAAAATAAAACCTCTATTACATAACACTGTATTAGGGATCTTTTCCTTACTCTTTATTTACAAAGATATCCCCCAGTATGCTGAGAATTGCAAGTTCTTCCAGTGTTTTTCAGTGCTTTTTAAGTGGCAAAAGAAAATCCCCACTCATGTTCACATATACCACCTATTTTTGAAACCAATAGGATATATCTCCCAGAAAGGTTAAAAAAACTCAATTGATTCGATTTCTGAATTTAAGCCCTATTGAATCTTCCAAGAATGAAAGCAGGCCATGTGTGTATACGGTGATATCTTTGAAATCTCAGATTAAGATACCTAAAAAACTTGAACAAATCACCTTTAAACTGCCAACAACTCCTCCGACTAGCAAATATAGAGGTATCATGGGCTGAACAGGACAGTCCTCCAAATTCTTTATTCCTGGAAACAAAATAAAAACCAAACAGTTCCATAAACATTATCCCCTCAGAACCGAACCATATTATCCTACAGTACTATAATGAGGCTGGGTGGAAATTGTTTTTTAACAATGGAAAGTCATGGTGGTTAATGCCAGTAATCATGGTGTTAATACTGGTATGGAGGGAGTCCTTCTCTTACCTACTAAAGCCATGGTGAGAGGCACAGCCAGAAACGCCAGCAGTCCAAAAATAAAGCATGCTGGAAAAAACAAGGATTGAATAATCAATCAGGTTCTTATTTTGGATTTAGCATCGGGGAATTCTTAAAAAATCGAAGAACAAGTTCCCAGTACATAGTGATCTGTGGTGTGGCTGATCCTTCTGCCTAGAGAAGCTCAGAACAG